GGGTTCCATCCACAGGAAGGAATCCTGGCCCGCCGGAGGCACGGGAGTGTGCGTCTGTCTGCAAGGCCGTCCAGGCGGTCTCTGGTGAGAACCCAGATGACGACAGGGACCGGCCGAGTGGCTGGGGCCCCCGGGGGCCGGGGGGTCCAGAGGGGCTTGGCCACACACCAGCAACGGGCCGCCACTGCCCCCTCACCTACCAATGCCGCGAGGCACGGGCAACTCCATGCAGCAGAGGCTGCGCCGGCTCGGCGCCCATCACACCGGGGGCTCGCCACGGGTGGGGGGAGCTGCTTAGCGACACGCAGACGGGCTCCGAGGGCAGCAGGAAGTCCGGACGCAGAGCCACGGCACCCGGGCCCGCACGCTTCCGGACTGAGCAGGCCTCTGGCATGCCGCGGGGAGATCACACCTCCCCCGTTCCCCTTCCGGAAAACGCCTCGGGTGACCAGGTGAAGGCGGGCCACAGGCATGGAAGACGCACAGAGGGCGCTGGCGTAGTCTGTGATCAGTGCCTAAGACTCCACCTCACGACCGACCAGCGGGGGGCTGAGGGCAGGTGGATTCCGGTCTGTGAACAGGGGCCCCCCCAGAGACGGTAGTGAGGACTTAGTGAAATTCGGCATTCGCTTATCCACGCATGTAACTTGTGTTTACAGATTTTACCTTCGATGACACGTGTGAATACGTAGAATCTATATACGAATAGCACAATACGAACATTATACAACTGATTACTCCGAACAGCAGATCACCCTCCAAACCTGAAGCGACAAAAATCCCCCGTCTCGCTCCCACCTGCGATTTGGGCAGGGCTCAGCGGAGCGCCCGTCTCTGCCCCAGGAGACGACAGCTGAGCCGGCGCATCTGGGGCCAAGGGACCCCCTTCCAAGGTGGTGCTCCCGCAAGGCTGGTGAGGGGGTGAGGTCAGTTCCTCTCCGTGTGGGCCTCGCCCTGGGCAGCCGGGGGCTTCCTCACCGCGTGGTGGCTGGGCCCCGACAGCCGGTGTCAGCCTCCTCCTGCAAGCTGGCGGTCACTCCTGCCACAGCCTATTAACCACGCTGTCCCAAAGCCTGGACTCAAGGGACGGACACAACGGACACTTCTCTCAATAGGAGGAGTGTCGGAAAAACTCGGGGCCACATTTTACAACTTTCACGGCATTTAAAACAGCTCAATATGGGGCTCCTGGCTGGCTCAGTCGGTAGAGCGTGTGACTCTCGAAATTGTGGTTGTGAGTTCAAGCCCCATGCTGGGGGTAGAGATTACTTTTAAAAAATCCTAAAAAAAAAAAAAATAATAATAATAAAAAATAAAACAGCTCCATCAATTCGAGCCAACGACAGCAGACAATAGAAGCCAGTCTAGGTGAGGATGCTGTCCCCTCCCTCAGCCGGGAGAGAAAAGGGGGAAGGGGGTCAGGTAGGCAGCAGCCATTAAAGAATGACCTTGGGAAGTGACTGTATCTTCACCTACCCAGTAACCTCCTCCTCTTGCTTTTGTCTGGGGTTGTGTGTAGGATTTATTTTGAGGGTTCCCTTGGGACCCCGCCGCCTTCAAAAATTGTTTTTGAAAATGACTAGAGTCCTTGAGTTTTAGGACTATTTGGGACACTGGTTGGATTAGACCCAGATAAAGGGGAAGGGAGTTTAGCAATCCCTATTTCTGCTGGGGGCCGGGGGTATGAGAACCAGAATAAACATTTTGGAAACCGAGTCAGGTGCAAGCCAGGTGCTTCCTGGGGCCGCGGGGTACGGCAGACGAGAACACTGCTCCCCGGAAAGATTAGAGGTGGCAGAGGCAAGGGAAGGAACCCTCACTTGCGCTCCACTGTCTCGTGCCCAGTAAGATCATCCGGCCCTGGCCGCTGGTGTGCAGGGGGAGGTCTGCCGCGGTGCGAGCGCAGACGGAGCGGCGGGCCCCGGGCGGACCAGCCCTGGACCTGGTTAGCGGTTCTCTCTACTCTCCCCTGACGTGTCTTCCCCTCTCCAGCGTCCCGTCGCCTGTGCTGGCTCCTCGGGCACATCTGTCCTCAGCCCTCTTACCTGCGGTCCTGTGTCGTCACAGGTCTCCTTCCCTTTATGTGGTGTCTGGGGTGAGGCATGTGCGGGTCACGGGATGACAAGCACCAAGGGGCCACGTAAGGCCCCGGGAGGGTGGGCAGGCCCCTCCTCCTGAGGGCTGGCAGGGCGGGCCGCTGCCCAGCAACCGGGGCACAAGCCGCACTGTCCTAGCGACTTCCCTTCCCCTTTTTAGAAGTAGGACAAAGTTGGGCGTCTGCCCCCAAACATCACCGAAAGGCAAAGAATCTTCTGTTTTATCAACTCCGCTTGGGGGCAGCTGGACTCACGGGCTTTCGAGCATTTAAGAGGCCGTCTGGCAGCCTTACAAAAGCTACTGCTACTCAATACGCATGGGTTGATCTTGCACTTGGAGGAGTACTCCTCAGAGAGCTCCCGGCGGACGGCGCGTCTGGACTCTGTACGAACCAGGAGCCGACACCCCAACGGGGAGCAGAGGAGTAGGTTCCTCCGTCCACTCAGGGTCTGTCTCTTAGGACGCCCCCTCCCCCATCCCGACACTACGGGTGGGAGAGCACACTCTCTTGAATTACCCTCGGATTCTCTCGCGTTTCCTCCCACATTTACATCTCCGACTGGCCTGGGGCTCCCTCGGCAGGGAGGTGCGCCTTCGAAACTGCGTATCCTACACGAGTCCTCCCTCCCTCTGCAGTTACTCTCTCGCTGCGGATTCCCGCCTGCTTCAGAACTTTCTGTTCCTCTGCACTGCTACGCGGACTCCGTGCTGCTCCCCTCTCCTCCCCTCCCCTGCCGGGCGCCATCAGGGACAGGATATCTCACCAGGGGGAGAACTCTCTTTATACTACTGAACCCCGCAGCTATAGCACACGGCGTGTCCTTTTACTCAGACCTCTCCTCTTTCTTTCAGGAACCTTTTAGAATTTCGTCCATCCGGGCACTGGACGGCTCATTAGGTGCGTGCCAAGCACTTCAGTTTTGCTGCTGCTGCTGCATCGAAAGGCGTTCAGGAAGTCACGGTCACTGTGGGGGAAGGCCACGGATTTACATGCTTCAGTTGGTTTCGCCTTTGAAGACTTTCTCCAGGCGATGTCAAATCTTTCTTCAGCTAAAGAACATGTCGGTTTATTTCTCCCACTGTTTCGTACTTCCCTCCCCTGTTCCCTCTGCACTGGTGTCAGGAGAGTCCCGTGCCTTAACCTTCCGGCTCGTGTGTGCATCTATTCTGACCTTAGTTGGACTAAGCTTATGATGTTTTCATTGCTAAGAACGGTTTCTTGTTTTTTTTTCCCTTACCGGCTTGCGGGTTGTATCTATCATCTATCTATCTGTCTATTTAAAAGAGGGTTCACGCCCAGGGAGGAGCCCGGCTTGGAGCCTGAACTCAACACCCTGAGATCAAGACCTGAGCTGAGGTCGAGAATCAGACGCTTAACTGACCGCGACACCCGGGCACCCCCAGTTTATTCTTTTGACGGATAAGACGGCTTCCGAACCACCTTCTGATTCCCGTACTGGCGGTTGTGCAAGGGCTGGACGCGGTTTTGAGATGCCGACCGACCGTCCGCAGACCACCGGGGCCTCGGGCACGCGTCATCTGTGGCGGCCCCCTCTGCTGCAGGGCGCACGTGCGGCTCACCTGAGCGGGGGCTCCTCGGGCGCCCGGCCACAGCCCCTCCTCCTGTCCTCCTGCCTTCTTGCCGGAGGACTTTCTCCTCCAGGTCATGTCTTCCAGCACAAAACTCAATGCTAAACCAGGTGTCTGCGCTTTTAAGAGACATCTTCACCTGGCTCGCTTGAGAGCAGAGCAGAAAAGGGCAAAGACTGACTCGACTTTTTCAAAGGAGCGTGGAAACCGTTTTCTCAGACCTCCCAGAACGGAGCAGGTGCTGCCTGGGACCCGCTTGCTTCGCGGAGTGAATCTGTCCTTCACACCTCACCTGTCAGGTCCCTCCACGTGGAGACAGCCTTCCAAAGGCCCTGTGTTCATCTCTTTATTCACCTGAAGTGGATCTCAAAGGGGAGGGACTGTTTCCAGCTCAATGATCTGGTCATCTGGAGGCTGGGGAGGGGCCCGGCCATGCCTTCTCAGGCCGAGGAACGTAGGTCGCGCGCGTGCCTTCCTCTGTTCCAGGGGGAAGCCCGTAAGCCAGGGCCACACCACACAACAGCCGGCCGCCTCCGGGGCAGAAAGAGCTGCCTCTCCCGGGCCTTTCTAGCTGCTGTGCCCAACGCCCCTCACAAAGGTGCTCTCCGGCAAGCTCAGTGTCACTGCCACCCTGCCTGCTTCCACTGGTCTCAGCATCCAGGACTGTCGCCTGGGATGGCTCCCGGGACGGCTCTAGGGCCGTCGCCACCATCACTGATACCCGAGCCTCGGGAACAAGAGGCTGGGACACTGAGCACCCGCCTTATACTTTGAGTGTCCTTCCTGGTGGCCCTGAGAGACTGGCACTCCCAGGCCTGCCCACAGCAGGAGGAGGAGAAAAGGCGTGTAGGCTGGTACGTTCAGGGTGCTTCTATCTCAGGCACTTGGGTCTTGGGTTTTGCTTGTACTGATCTATTTCCCACAAATATAAAAATGGTGAACTCACTTGGATTATCTGCATTTCAACATATCTGGATTATTCTGGATGCAATGGACAGAGAAGCCAAGCAAGCTGGCCTAACTGGGAGGGATGATGCCATAGCCCAAGGCAGGCTGGTGTCCAACTGCTGTGATCAGGCACGTTCCTCCCCCAGCCCACCGCCCCCCCGCCCCCGCCCCCACCCCCCGCTGGCTCTGACGCACCCATGCCCGTATCCCATGTTTCCCAGCCTGCGTATCCACCAACTGTCCTCACGGCTGGGACACAGCATGGGGCGAATAGGACAGCCACACGCTCAGCTCCTGGTCTCCTGGAGCACTGGTCTAATGGTGACAGATCGACGACAACAAAGTCCACGAGGACTAAACGAGAATATGTCAAATACAGGGAAAATTTATGGAAAAAAGACATGAGAAACAAGGCAGAAAAGCAAAACAAAAAACCGTGAGGAGTCAGACGACCAGACTGCTGCTCTGGGTGAGGGGGTCAGGTTCAGCCTCTAACATCTGAGCCGGGCGCTGGGTGACGAAGCAAAAGGCAGCCACAAGGGTGGGGTGGGCGGTACAGGTGGGAAGAGAGAGCCCAGAAGATCTTTCCGCCCTTCGTTTGATTCCTGGCGCCTTGGGAAAGAAGCCTACATTTAGTGAGCAATCTCAGGGCAGGCTTTTCCGACGTCTCCACGGTATTTTCGTTGTAAAGCCAATGAGAAAGCGCTTTGGCGAGGGAGACCGAGTGCCTCAAGGTTTTCTTGAAAGCACACGCAAGCCAGGCCCTCCTGAGGTGTAACAATGTGCTTGCAACGTGCCCAGTACGACCTGCTGGTGAAAAAACTAAAATTTCTCACGTGTATACATTAAAAAAAAAAAATCTCCACGTAAATGCTTTCTTTGACTTTTTGCCCAGGATCCATTGCAAAAGTGCTTCTGTTTAGAAAGCACAGTCCAGCCAAAATCCAGTTTGCTTTTCAGGAAAAGTGGAGGGAAAAAACCAAGAAACGTGGGGCATTAGGCAAATCGGCATGAGCGTCTGTCACTGTCTGTGACACAGGCTGGGGCAGCTCATTCTCCATGGCGGGCACCTCCTACAAGACCATGTGGAGTGGAGGGTCTTCTCCCGGACGGAGGGGTGAGGGCAGAGCAGTGAGGTGCGTGCCGCCCCCCAGTCACACGGGCTCTCCGTCGCGGACGCCAGCGCCAAGTTGCGACAAACAGCCGCACCCAGGAGACCGCGCTTGTTGGCTTCTGCGACTTGAACACAGCTCTCCCCCTGCGGTGGCTCCAGACCCAGGATCCCAGGACAGCAGGGCGTGCACCTGCCCCTGACCCCTGCCAGGGCCTCGCCCCTTACTCCCCCTCCCCCCCAACCACAAACCCCTGGCTGCCACCGTTTACTCCGACTCGGTCCCCTGCGGCCTCTGAATAACCAGAGAAGCCGGTGTGGTGGCAACACCCGGCAGGTTACGGGACGCAGACACAGCAGGGCTGGGACATGTCGGCCGTGAGCTACTGGCTGACTCTCTACTCGTCAGGAGGTCCTGGGCGGTGACACAAGGCCGGGCCATCCTGGAGAGGCCTGGGCCCAAAGCCGCTCACGCAGCAACGCTCTGCCGAGTCCTGCTGCCACGCCCCTCAAGTTCCACGGGGACCGGAGCAGCGCCCCATCACAGGTCGGCGACGGCCGGGCGACAGTCAGGCCGTGGCTCCTGCACGCGGCCGCCCGGCGGGTCGCTGGCCCTCTGCCGCCTGGCCAGTGCCACCGTCACGGTGGCCGCCCCCAAGCGCAAGCCCTGCAGGCGGGAGACGGCCTGCTGGGCGGAGGCCGGGGCCTGGTAATGCAGGAGGGCCCTGCCCCGGGGCCCCTGCCAAGTGAGCCTCTGGGGGACCGCTCCGAGTTCTCGGAGGGCTCTCTTCAGCTCGCTCACTCGGGCGTCCCGGGGAAGGTTCCCGACGCAAACGGTGCCAGCGGGCCCGTCCTCCCCCTGCGCAGGGCAGGGTTCTGGCAGGGGTGGGTCCCGGGGCCCCCGGACGGCGCTCAGGTGAGCTGGCTGCTGGCTGCTGGCTCCCAGGAGGCGCCGGGGCTCGTCCCGGAGGGTGACGTCCTTCCCAGCCTGCTTCTCTCGGCGACGAAGGCTTTGGAGTACTGGGATTTTCCCCATCACCTCCCAGCTGATCTGAAAGAGCAAAGCGGTCCCAGCTGTTCTCCGGGGGTCCCAACACGGTCACGAACGGAGGAGAAATCGAAGTCGCACGGGGGCCTCTGCCGCACACGCTCGGGTAAGCAGTCTCGGCCATGCTGCCCTAGGGGCCCACCCTGGCCCTCTGGGAAGCAGGACCCCTCGGTCCCCGTCCTGCCCCAGCTTAAGTGAAATCTGGGACCCCGAGGCCACTTCAGACTGTGCCCGACGTGCCACGGCAGCTGGCAGGAGGGGAACGGTTTTCTCTACTCGGGAAGCAGAAAAGCAAAGGCCTCCTATGCAGAAGGGATAGCGGGGAAGGTCAGTGGAAAGAGGGTGACGGGTCACAGGTGGCAATCCCCCTGGTGACCTCCATGATAATCGGGGCTTTCTGCCTCCATGCCAGCCCCTCCTCCCAAGTCCCCACCCTGTGGGTGGGATGAGCTCTTTAACGGGGCTCCCTGGGGCCTCCCCCTTCTCCCCACTCCTCCACTGGAGGAGCGTTCCTCAGGGACCGAACCTTTCAACGTGTTGCCAAAAATGCAGAGACAAGGCAAAGCTGAAACACAACGCCACTTCTGAAAACTTTCTAGCAACGGGTTCATCAAGCTACAAAGCAGCACTACACGAAACGTTAAGTCTCAATGAACAGGATTTCTACTTTGGCTCTTTGGGAAGCTGCAACAAAGGAGGCGGGAAAAGCACCCCGAGACAGGAGGCAGGGCCCCCCTCGAGTACCGGGATGGACAAGTGGGGTCCGCGCACAGAGGGGACTGACTCGAGCCCGCTTGCCGCGTGGCAGCTGACGGCCCCTCCCTGGGGCAGCCCTTCAGGTTAGGCTGAGCCTGGATGACTGAACCCGGGACAAAACCCGTCTTCTGTCGTTTAAGGAATCACATGGCAGACAAGGAAGAGAAAGGCACTGGTGAGCCCTTCTTAGCAATCCTCAGTCTTTACAGATGCGTTGTGTCCTGCGTTAGGGCACAGAGCTTGTACATGACCAATTACAGGGCATGGTGGGCAATGGTCCCAACACGGGACTTCCCACAAACGTGGGCACGTCAGGATACGTATCAGCATACGAGCTGGATAGATGTAACTTCCCTCTACAAGTAAATAGCCCACCTAGTAACGATGTTCTCTTTCCATTCAGAACCGTATGTCACTAGAGTAATGGTTCTTATCCCCGGCAGGTGTCAGACACCTTGGGAGAGAAGCCGGGGTTCCTTCCCAAGGAGGAGTCCCCCGCAATTCTGTGCGCAATTTCCCAGTCTACTCCGGGGTCTCCAAACCACAAGGGGCACACAGGCCCCAGGTTAAGGATCAGCGATTTAGAGAAAGGGTCAAAGAAACTCAAACACCCAAGAACAGTCGAGCCCCTTCTCACAAACTTCAAGGCTGCTGGTCCTCATTAATCTGGCACCTGGTTCTCTCTCCCAGCACTAAGTGGACAACACCCCCACCTTGGCCCACCTCTCCACTGGCTCAGATCCCTCTCCAAACGGACACCACCCTCGCTCCCGGGCACGGCCACGTCAGAAGCCTCTGTGCCCGGTTCTTGCCCACTCATGTCCTCAGAGCAGCACAGAGACTCTCAGCCGCCACAGAAAGACGCTGTTCAGAGAAAACCTCCCCCTAATGTTTCCCAGTGTCGAGACGCAAAGAGACAAACAAAAACCACGTCTGCCATGGACACATGCATGAGATGAAGCTTCTCTTTTCTCATCAAAAGGGATCTTTCTTCCACTGGACTCTCTGCAATTCTCCCGAACTGATTCACTCAAAGGTGACAGAGCTCCCAGGCCAGTACCCTGGAGGCTCTGGTCCCAAGGCGTCCTGAAGATGGTCTGGTCCAGCAACCGACCCTCCCACGCCTCCATTCTACCTTCTTAAAGAGTTCACATTCCTGTGTCCTTTCAGAGTACTTAAAAACAGATTGAAACTGGTCATAATCAGATTCTTTTTATTTTCTAAGGAATCTCTACACTTGACGTGGGGTTTGAACTCACAACTCTGGGATCAAAAGTCACGTGCTTTTTTTTTTTTTAAGTTTATTTATTTTGAGAGAGGGAGAGAGCGTGTGCCGAGTGATCAGGGGAGGGGCAGAGAGGGAGAGACAGCATCCCAAGAAGGCTCTGCACTGTCTGCCTGTGCAGAGCCTGACGCGGAACTCAATCTCACAACCGTGAGATCGTGACCTGAGCCGAAATCGAGAGACGGACACTTAACCGACTGAGCCACCCAGGCGCCCCAAGTCACATGCTCTTCCAACGGAGCCAGCCAGGTGCCCCCAAACTGGTCATATAGGTTCTTCGGGATGTCTTGAAGTTACCAGATCTAGTATTTAGAAAGGATGACCCAACTCAAAGTTGCAATTACAGTCGGAGGAAACGTGTGACTATGTATTTCTGTGGCAACGCTGAATGTCGTTCCACCCAACACCCACGAGGCCAGATCTCCTGGTAACAGCACTTGCGCCAGCACCGGCTCCGAGCGGTCTTGGCCGGGTGATCGCCCCACATGCTGAAACCCCCACGTGCTTCTGCCCAGCGAACCATGGGGCTCCCTCCGGCAGAAGCTAGCGTTCTCAGGGAACCTGACCCAGGGGGCGAGGTTCCACACTCAGGCAGCAGAGATCCATTTAAAAATGCATCACGTGGGGCAAAAGGACACCCGCTCCGCACCCCACAGGGGGGCGCTGTATCCCAAGCAGGCACACGTACACACTGCGAATGGCTGAACAACAAAAATGTTTTCACTGGGTACGCATTCTGAGCTAAGTCTACAGCACCGCAAACACACTCAGACACACACACACACACCCCTTTACAAGGGGAAATGCCAACTGCGTCACCGTTGCCTAAAACTGCTGGTCTCAAGACAGGATGGTTTCGGGTAAGGAAGGACAAAGCTCAGCGTCGGCTCATGCTTGCACGCCCACACGTTCTCAATGGAAAAATCTCCCCGACTAAGAGGTGGCCACTTTTGACACTTTCCCAGCTGTCTGCCATTTCTGGGCTCTTTGCGGAGCGGCTGGGGCTGACGGCTGTCCCACAGCTGACACAGAGGCCTCTGTGCGCCAGCTAGACGGGCTGGCTTCACGCTCAGGACAGTCCACGCGGTGCTACGCTGTTTTTCCTGGCTGGCCATTAGGAACATTTGTTACATCTGTGAGTGCGCCATGTGACACGAAAGATTTTTGCCTATTAACCAAACATACAAATACGTTTCTGCCTTTCAATAACTAATCATTCCATTAAAAGATAGTATAGCGAATTTAACTTTCTTTTGTGCGCCAAAACCATTCTCCACTGACGTTTTACGAAGATCGTGTATAAACATACGTTCTCTTTAAAGATTAAAAATCCCGTCCCCTAGAAATACATGCTAAATCCAATACAGATCAGCAGCCTAACTCTCAAGGCACCTGCGGCCAACTCAGAAGGAAGACTAACCTTGCCTCCGCCAACCCCTGGCTTCAGAATTTCACACCTGTTGCTTTTCCTGACTCTCCCTTTACTTGAGCAGAAGATACAGAGACTGGGAGGGAGGATCCTCACTCTGAAATGCTAGCACACGTTTGAGCTATTGCAAAGGAACAGGAACACCATACGTGTTTCTCATGTGACATACAATGTCCACACAAATTACTACTGCCACACATGAGACCAACACTTGTCATTCATGGATCGAAAATACTTTTATTTAAAAAAATTTTTTTAATGTTTATTTATTTTTGAGGGGGGGAGGGAGGGAGGGAGGGAGACAGAGCATGAGCGGGGGAGAGGCAGAGAGAGAGAGACGGAGACACAGAATCCGAAGCAGGCTCCAGCCTCCGAGCCGTCAGCACAGAGCCCGACACGGGGCTCGAACTCACCAACAGTAAGATCATGACCTGAGCCGAAGTCGGAGGCTCAACCGACCACCCAGGTGCTTGGATCGAAAATTCTTTCAAATACGGTACTTTCAAATGAGCAAGGTGAAGCGACTTGAGTAACCAAGCATGCAAGAACACAGCACAGCTAATGAACACCCTGTCTTCCAAAAGTCATTCCTGCCTTGCAGCATCTGTTGGCTAATTATAGTGGCTCCTGATTGTAACAGGGCTCGATGTGTACGTCTTTTTGCAGAGAGATGATCAAAGGTGTCACTTAATAGAAAAGGCCCCACAGGACCACTCCTTTATAATTATGCTCTTACTGTGGGTGCTGAAGGACCAGGAGGGCAGTGACCGCACACCATCGCCCCATCGCACGCCCCACACAGTCAGGAAGAGAGGAGCCGTTTGGGGGTGGCCACGGAATCACTACGCAACACGGGGTAAAACGGTGTTTACTTGCTGGAACACATGATCACCTCCAACCCGTGCCACACATGCCAGCTTCTGTCCACACACTTCGGTGCCCACCCATCCTATGCTGTTCGGGGGGTGGGGACAGCCCGACAGACGAGCCCACGAGCGCAGGGAGTCCCCTCCCACCGGGCCAGTTCGGAGCCGGGTGTGGCATGCGTTCCTGCCAGGCGGCTCCGGGCTCAGCTCCACACCAGGGCGTCAGCCGCGCGGGGAAGAGCGGCCCATGCGGCCCCACCTCACGCACAGGCAGGTGCTCTGCACCAGCAGCTGGGGCAGGCCAGCGTCGCCCCCACGCACAAGCACAGGACTCCTGAGAACTGGGGCATCGTCTCAGGCACCTGTTCTTACCCCCTGGGCGCGCGGCAAAGGGAGGCTCGTTGCAGAACTGGAGGTGAGCGCCCGGGGAGAAGGCTGCCCGCAGAAACCGTCTCTCCTCGGTAGTGCGGACGGGGGGCGCGCACCCGCTGTGGGAAATTCAGAAAACGGTGAACAGATATAGGAATCCCCCTCTCGGAGACGGCTACGGTTCACGCGCGGGCCTACCCCCACCCCTTCCTGCGCGGGTTCCAGCGCCACGGGCTGAGGACACACGACACCGCAAACGTGCAGAGACGCGCACGCTGCCCGTCCACCCGGCACGTATCACACGAGCGTTTCCTCTCACCGTCAAACACTCTCAAAAGGCTGCATGTACTTTAATGACAGGGTTGGCATCTGGGACCCTGACGCACCTCAGGGCCGTGCATTATACGGGATGCACGCATCTCTACCTGAATTTCTAAGTATTTCTCTAGGACAGGTTCCTAGAAGTTCAATTACTGGGACAAATACAGCAAATCTTTTTAAGTGGAAGGATCGGCCTAAGTCCCCGGCCCCGTTGTAGGTGTGGCTCAGTCCACATCTGGCTGTTACTTCCAGACAACACTGTGATGCGGGATCGGAAAGCGGGCGTCTGCGTCCCAGGACGGCTGCTGCTCACAGAAGAGGTCCCTGTCCCAAACCCTTTTCCTCAAGCCATGTGTCATTCTCAAGAAGTCAGTCAACCGGCATGGTGACCATCTGGGAACAGCACTCCCTAACAGCTGTAGATGCTACAGAACTTTTTGTTTCTTTGAGCCTGTATACAAGGATGACCCTGGCAGAGCCCCATTTCCTCACTGAAGGACAAAATGAGTTGATCCGAGAAAGACAAACATCCAGACGTTGGTCAACACAGTCCCACTGCTCCCCTCCGTAATCAGTGGTAACACCTTTCCCACAATTACTGCAGGGAGCAAAGGGGCTGGGAAGGAGTCCTTTGGTCTGTGGCTTTGGTGGCAAGGAGCAGTCTCGTGGGTGCCCTGGGTCTCTCTGGAGCTGCAGCCACACCCCGCTGCCTGACCATGTCTCCAGGGTACCCTTAAATAAGTATCATACCCTCCATCTGCCCCATTCTAGCTCAGCAGACGTCAATAAAGGCACGGGTCTCGCTGTCCTGAGGTCCAGTCCGGTGGGGCCATGCGAGGGGAGCGGAGGTGTCAGAAACAACCCGGAGCCCCACACACAGAGGGCCCCGTCCTGCTTTCCAAATGCTCGTCTGGGTCTAGCGGGCAGCCAGGCTCTTGGGCAGGACACTGCACTGCTCTGTCGTGACCCACCATCTTGCAGCCCTGGGAGCGGATGGGGCTGTGCGGGGGCTCCAGCCAGAGCTAAGGCCTGCAGGTCACCTTGCACATGGCCGTCCACATCTACCCGGGGGTTCGGGACCCACCTCAATGGCCGGGTCTCATACCGTCCACCGGCCAGCTGGACAGAGATCCTGGGAGGAACACCTCCTTTCACCGGGTTGGACCTGCTGGGCCGGGGGCTCAGGGGGTTCTGGGTCCTCAGGGGAGGCAGCTTGTGGCTGGAGTGGGGCAGTCATGGCACCTTGTAGCTTAGACAGGGAAAAGTTCCCTGAGTTTGACAGGTCAGCAGGTGAGAGGCCACTCTGAGGGAACAGAGGAACCCACATGAACAGAGCAGACGCACTTTCCAGGAGGAACGTCTCTTTCTCCTTCACCGAGAGGCAGTGAAGGGCACACGGTGATAACGCACAGCCATGGAACGACTCGGGCCAGGCCCAGTCTTGGCTCAGTGAACGTCTCAAAGGGGAACCGCGAGGACTCTGCCAGCACCAACAGCATCCAGGCACGTTTCTCACAATTACTGACTTCCATTTCACGCCTGTGACAGCCACGCCGGTGACAAAGGGCAAGTTTAGCCGGTGCTTCCGTGCTCTGCCTGTGGGGTCAGCACCGACGCTCTCCACGCTACAGATAAACTAATGGGGGGGGGGGGCACCTGCAGAGGGTGCACCAAGGTCACAGATACAACGAATGAGAGGCCCTACGGTGGCTGCTGAGCTCTCCAAACTACTGCGCCCCCTGGTCACCCATCTTTAAAATCACAAAGCACTTGGGGCGCCTGGGGGGCTCCGTCAGCTAAGCGTCCGACTTCAGCTCAGGTCACGATCTTGTGGTTCGTGAGTCTGGGCCCCGCGTCGGGCTCTGTGCTGACAGCTCGGAGCCTGGAGCCTGCTTCCGATTCTGTGTCGCCCTCTCTCTGCCCCTCCCCTGCTCATGCTCTGTTTCTCTCTCTGTCAAAAATAAATAAAACATTAAAAAAACTTAAAGTCACAAAGCACAGGCAGAAAAGAGGACAAGGTGGGTCAAGGGCCCCCCCTCCCCACTGCCCAAAGGAACTACAGCTGGACAGCAGAGTCCATACCCGCTGGCCCCCAAGCGGGAGCACCCCATGCCTCTCTCAGAAGGTGGGGCAAAGGCCAGGGGAATCGAATGCTGCACAATCTTTGTGTATTAAGAACGAGTAAAAAAAAAAAAAAAGAAAGAAAATGTATCACACTTTGTACTTATTTCGTAACCTTCATCTGGGAGGTCTACAGTGTTTAGAAAAAAACTGTGATTCCAGATATTCCACAAAACAGACGAGAAGCAAACTCGGGGATTCTAATACCCACACGACAACAGTCTATGGGTAGAATATCCACAGGAGGATATGCCAACGTGTATCTCATAGTCCATCTGAAATCAAACTGTATCCTACAACTGAACTTCCCCACCCCTTCCCAAATCCTCAGTGGAATTCAGGGGTTCCCAATGTCAGTGAAAATTCCTTCCGGCTGCACACAAAGCGAGGCCAGAACAGAAGCCCCAGGGACTGGAGAAAGTTGCTGCTTTCACATGACCCCGTGCAAAGGGACGCCCTGTGGTGGGAGAACTAACACAGGACCCCAAAATGAGAAATGGCCTTTTAAAAGTTTGAGATTCTTGGGGCACCTGGGTGGCTCAGTTGGTTAATGAAGCATCCGACTCTTGATCTCGGCTCAGGTCATGATCTCACAGTTCGTGAGTTCAAGCCCCATGCTGGGCTCCGTGCTGACGGCACAAAGCCCGCTTGGGATTCTCTCGCTCCCTCTCTTTCTCTCCTCCTCCCCTGCCTGCACATGCTTTTTTTCTCTCTCTCAAAATAAACAAACATTAGATAGATAGATAGATAGATAGATAGATAGATAGATAGATAAAAGTTTGCAATTCTTGGGGCACCCAGCTGGCTTAGTCGGTAGAGCACACAAATCTTGACCTCGGGGTTGTGAGTTCAAGCCCCGCGTTGGGCGTGGAGCCTACTTAAAAAAAAAAATAGTAAAAATAAAAAATAAAAGTTTGAGATTCTTGCTCAGGCCTCATTAGCAATCGATCTTCCAGGAAGGGGCTGAAACAGTGGGGGCGTCAAAAACCAGTAAAGGCCCCAACGCCCTACGTACAAAGTATGGCTACTTCTTTGGGATCCCTGGTTCATTTGGTTTTCTTTTACACACGAGGAGTTATCTTCACCTAACACGACCAATAACATCACCTGTTGATATTTTTCTTGTTAAAATCAGGAGAATGTGACCATGACTATTCCCCAAAGCAACACATCTTTGTTTTTCTTCCTGGAGAGGCCGCCCAGAATCTTCCTAATGTGGGCTGCAGTTGGCCTTCCGTCTATGAAGTGCTGTCCTCCAGGGGACCTGTAGCCTTGCTGTAGTCAGCCTCTTGTGTAACCTGCCCCGACTCACATTCTCAGCCGTGAGCAAAGGCCACCTTGCTCCTGTAACCTGTGTATCAGCCTCCACTCAGAGCAGCTGTGGCCCCGAATTCCAAGGTAAACCCAAGTTCTCAGGAGAGACAGCGAGGGACATCTTAATATTCACTAAGGGTGCCACTGGCTTCCCCACGGCGCTCAGCACACACTCGGACCCCCACCGGCCCACTTTCAGGTCACGCCTGCCTCTCCTCTCTGCTTTCGTCGGGCTAACCTAGAAGGAGCCCAGAACTGCCTGGCCGTGGCGTCTGTGGGAAGGCCCACTGGGCCGTAGCATTTCATTTTGGTGTCAAGCTTGGAGGTGGAGGTTACGGGGTCTCCATGCCCAAGGGGAGGCTGCTTTCCAACTCTGGACAATTCGGGTTCCAGGGATGGAAGGTGTGGAACAAAGGCTTCAGTCCATACCAAGCCCAAGCTGTGCCCGTCTCCTCAGTAGCTCTGGCTGCTCGCCGGCAGGCGGGGCCCTAACCTGCAGGCTGGCCTCTGGGACCGACTTCCTACCGCAGACTATCGTGCCGTGTGCCGTGCAAATGCTGCGGATAAAAGTCACCAAGGCATCAGCTTACGAAGGCCACGGGTACCGCGTGGACAGCCAGGTCACACGAGACAATCTGGGACTCCCAGCGAGAAAGCCGATGAGGCAGCAGGAGGCTGTGGCCAGGACGGTGGCACGCAGCCCAGAGATGAGACCCGCCAGCAAGGGTGTCGGGGCATCGGCCCTCCAAGTGGGCAGCTCTCTCTGCCGTGGACAGCTGGTGCCCTGCGGCAGGAGACCTTGCACCTGCCTGCTTACCAGAATCCCACAGGATTGCAAAGTATATTCTTGGGCCCATGCCGGGAGACAGATTCAGGAGCTCAACTGTTCAAAAGCTCGCGGGTGATTGTAACGCACAGACACGCCAGGCCTGGGGACAGCTGCCATGCCAAAGGACGCCACACAGGAGGGTATGCCTCTGAGCTACAGGTCACTGCCGGCCACGGCACCCACCTTGGACCATAAGATTCCCGTTGGCTTTGGGCGCTCACACCCTGTGGCAATGACTCTCGTCGGAGTGAGAATGTAGTCCACGGTGAGGTCGTGGTCCTCGAGCAGCGCTTCAGGTATGTCGATGACCTGGTCAAACAGAAGGGGGTGAGGGGGCTGGCGGGCACACGGCTCCCGTGCTCACCGCACACACAGTAGATGCACGTGCCAGGCCCGAAGGGAGAAGGCCTCACCGCCATGCTGCCAAACAGATCCGGCCCCCGCTGATGGCCACCACTCGCGACAGCCGCGGAGCGAAGGCAGAGACCACTCCGTCTCTGTCTCTCTCCCTCCCTCCCCTCCCGCTCTCTTGGGTGTGGCAGTGGCTCTGCTGGGCCCGTTCACGGGCAGCACCTGGCAGTCGTGGACGATGGTGACCACTGGTGTCTCCGGGCCGACCGCTCCCATCGACACCATCATGGCATATTCCAGATCAGCATAACCTTCTCCCTTCCCAATTCTCCAACCTAAGAAACACGTAGAGCATCAGTAGTATCTCCGGAGTACATGTTTCATTAGGTCACAGTGGAAGCAGAAACCCGGACTCAGTATCCCCGGCCCCTCCTCAGAAACTGCCACAGTGAGCCCACGGGCGGGCAGCCCCCCAGTAGTGGGGTTCAGGGGACAGAAGACACTGCGCACGCACAGCGGTCAGCACGCAGTGACGTGAACCTCGAGCCCTTTAAACGTGTTACAAGAGGAAATGGAACCTTGTTTGTATGAGCAGAACTCAGGTTTAAAAGTAACGAAAGAGCAGTTTCTAAAAAGATTAAGAACAAATTTCTACTAAACACAGAATCTTTTTAAGCTATTTCTCTTGGAAGAGAAATAAAAACGAAAATGAGGGACAGGCGATTTAAGACGGCATCACTTTGCCTTGTGAAAAGCGCCACAGGAGGGCGGGGCCGGCGGCCCTGGTCCCAAACTGCAAAGTCCGAGGTGGGGCGAGCGGAAGGCTGAGCCCGAGGCTGGACGAGAAGCTACGCGGCAGGAAGGAACGCGGCAAGACGGGAACCTGGCTCCCAAGAGGATCGACACCGTGCCGTTAGGAAGCCCGTGACACTGCAGAAATCCTGACTTCTGCACAACCTCAGCATCAGCATCATCACAAAGAGCATCAGTGCTCATGGGTCTAAAATGCTGGTCTGTCACGCGACTCTTACAGTCACCAACATCCAGCCACGCGTGCAAATACACGAGACAAAGACAGTTCCACGCAGAATTGTCTGAGTCACAAAGGATGTGGACAGTCTGCACGAAGAGACAGGCAGGTGAGCAGCAAACACAAGAAATGACCACCTTCGCTCACCATGGAATGCAAATCAAGCGACAGGTGGCACACGACTGCTCACTGCGGGACGGGTAAGCACCAGAGTGTGGTTATTCTAGTTACTGGCACGGGAGCAGGGAGGGAGGCGAGCTGTACAGGGCTGGGGATGCGAGGTGGGTTATGTGGCTACAGCCACCAGGGTTTAAAGTCCACCCTTTGCCTCGGCAATTCACTTGCTAGGATTATGCCACGGAAAGCCCTGGAAGGCACCACAGACTCAACCCCAGGACTCTGGCTCCCTTTAGTGTTACCTGTAAGGGAAAAGCCAAAACCAAACCCTGGTGACACCTTAAGTGCCCATCAGTCTGCAGGGACGGACATCATCCGGCAGGACACACAGTGCCGTATGTGCTGCTGCCCCCTTCTGGGGGAACAGAGTCAGCACAAACCACCCCAGAGAGAACACGGGACACGTGTGGACTCACAGGCATCTCTCTCACAGACACAAGGAACTACGGATGGTGGACGCCTGGGAAGGGCACGGGTGATGCTTTCAGAAGCGCCTGATCATCTTTGAAAAAAAAGGCCCTGCTAATTGCCCCTTGCCAAGAGCACGGCCCCAAGCTTGTCCCCGGGCCTCGCGGCCTCTGGGAAGCCAACCCCAACCTACCCAGGGCTGTGCTGCCCCTCCTCCTCTCCTCTCCTCTCCTCTCCCGCTGCACCCACCTCCGCCACCTGGCACGTAAGGGCCAGCCCTGAGGTCGCTTCCCAGATGATGCCCAGCTCAAGGCCTTAGGGTCACTCTGCTGACCCTCGCCGGTATCAGTGCTCACTTCTGTGTCGGGCACCGAGCACATCACGCCACGGTTCAGCCGCTGTGTCTGCTCTTCCCAGGCCCTGCGGCCCAAGGCAGAGACCACCCAGAGCTGGCCTGACACGGGGCCCACAGCAGGCATCCAGGAGACGTGTGCCTCTGGGGACCCATCCCCAATGACACAGACAGAGCGCGTAACTGGAATACAGAGAAAGCAAAAGCGCGAACGAAGCACTACAACGGCTCCCATACTAGGGCAGAGTGAGACACAGAGGCGAGTCCCCCGCCCCCACTCCCCCCTCCGAATGGCAAAGCACCAGGCCTCCCGGTCAGGCCCGGGACAACACGCGTCGCCCAGAGGCCGCCGCTTCCTAACGGAAACAAAGTTTAGAGCCTGACGTTTTCCCATTCACTGGAGGTTCTCCAAAACCAACCATTACTGACACACTACACACAAGTCCAGCTCTGGTTCCAGGTAGCTTAAGAACAGAGGAAATATCTCTCACCACCTGAACAGAGATGATGTCACTTTATTTTTCCTGCTAAGAAAAATGAAAACACTGTAAAGGTATTGAGTGTGAGGGACAAAATGAATGAGAGAGACAGTGGTTACTCAAAGGACAGGAACGTGTCCAGAAACTGAAATTACTTACCGTCAGGGTCTAGGAGACGGACAGACAGCAGAATGTCACGCTGCAGGTCACGGTGCGATTTTAACCTTACCTTTTTCAGAAACGGCAACGGACCCCACCACCACCAAGTCCACAAGGACCCTGGAATCCAAGCCCACGGGGGTGCTGTAGTTGCGCACGCCCTGCGAACAGAGACGTGGGCCTGAATGCTTCCCGGGCGGCGAGCGGCTGGCCCCCCTCACAGTCCACGGGCGAGGAGCTCGCAGGAGGCAAACTCGTGCCCTACGACAGGCACACGGCATCGTGGGAGCGGCATTGAGGATAATTTCCCCCAGTTTCTGTCCCAGGGAAGATGGCGCTTTGGAAGGGACAGCACAAATGAGTAAGGCGGTAATTTCACAATACGGAGCAAATCAGAGGAGTGCCGTGGTTAGAACAGAGGGGGGGAGTCACACGGAACCATGTGCAGACCCCTGTGCGCCCCCGTGACCTCAGCAGGAGGAAGCTCTCTGACCCTCAATGTCGCCGTCCGTAAGGCAGAGGCGCTGCCCACGGCCTCGTCAGGCTGCTGTTGGAACGGAAGGAGATGGCGGAGGTGATGCGCTTCGTGCATGAGATGGGGCCAGCAAGCGCGTGGGGCAGACTCATTAAGTGTGAGATGCTGGGGGCCGCCACTGGCACGCAGGGCGTATTCACTCCTGAGATAGGACTCAACCCACACCCACCTAACGTACACACGTTTACACCGAGGGGGCCCGTATTTCAAGAACAGGGGGGCTGATGTGGTCCTGCGTCTCGGACGAGAAGGGGCACAGATCAGTCCGGCAACCGGATCACGGCCCCACGTCGGTGTCCCGCCCCCCACTGCTGGGCAGTCGCCACCGCACGGTGGCAGCCGTTCTGCCTCGCGGCTCTGGCAGCACAGACAGTCAGCGCACCATGACCCGCATCTGCGCACACGCGCGGCCGTGAGGCTCTCTCCACGTTCCATTTGCCCCAGCCAGGAAGAGAAGGAAAACCTCCCTCTCGGGTTCCGGTGCGTCATGTTGTAACAGAGCCCGAACTCGGCCGTCCAAACCCTACTGAAGCTCAGTCACGAGTGCTGGCCCGGCTCCGCTGGGGGCCCGGTCACACTTTCAGGGGCGCGTGTGAGGGACCGGCCATCTGACCCGGGCCTCAACCTCAGGACGGGAACTGCGCTTAACTCTCCCGAACCTACGACTGCTGCGCGGCTCATCACGCTCCCCGCCGGCTCTGGGAAACGCGAGTGCGTACCCGTGGCCCGTGCTGCCAGCCGCGGACCATCCCACAGGCTGCATTTCTGAACACCAACGAGAAGCACGACCGTCTCTCGTTTTTCTGCTTTGAATTTCCCTTTGCACTTTTTTCTACACGTGTTTTATTACCGTACTCTATTACACGGGTTTTTGTAAACCACATCAGATTCTATTTTTGGAATAAAGTTAACGATAAGTAACAATAAGCGTTCAATTTTTAAACATCAGACTTAAGCAGAAAATCTCTTTTAAAAAGGAATATCTCTTAATTATACACCCGGCTACAGACACAATTAGCCCACGGTCATACACCAGGAGGAAAATCGTGTTTAGGTGACACCTCTGCAGCCTCCACTGAAATGCCCCGTGTCACAGAGCTGCTGATACACAGCCTTCAGCCAAAACCACTGGAGGAATGAATTCTACACCATTTATTGCACGATTCACATTTGACCAGCATTATCTGGCCAGGTGACCATCTTATCCTGCTTATATTAAAATGATGCGATGGAAAAAATAAATAGGAATATCTTGATGTCTTAGTTTTCATTCCCAATAGATTAGGAATCAAAATGAGCGGGGGTCGATCCCAGGACTCTGAAAAAAAGTCACCAAATTCTATTTCTTCATCTGCAAAACACAAGGCAAATCCCACTACAGGGCAGCCTAGGATAGTATTTACACACTTCCATTTGACTACACTGTGAGACACTCCGGAAAAGCCCATCCCTGAATTACTCAAGTCGTTATTCAGAACTGCTGAGGCCACTTCCAACTGAAGGGTTCTGCAAATCCCTGAGTCCCCACTTGCTCTGGTGGCAGTTCAGAAATTGCTAGATACCAGACAGTGACAGGTCAACACGGGGAGGTGTCAGAGACCAGGTAACTTATTTCCTCTTCCTTTTTAACAGGAACTTTACAATCTGCAAACCTGTGCCAGAGAGAAACCGAGCAGCTCAAGTGGAGCCCGTGTACCTGTGGTTTTTCGACGTGGCTCCTGTATCACGGGACGGCTGGATGCTAGTCCATTTCTGCTCATCTGGCTTTGCGGAAAATGAAGTTCAGTTCTGTGGGGCACTTTGCGCCCGCACTTACCTGAGAGGTGGCGCATTTTCTCAAGACGTCCTTCGTTGCGCCGGGCGGCGGCGTGATCTTATTAAATAACCCCGTTCTCAGCCGTGGTGTTGGCACCAACAATGTTTTTTTGCTCTTTTAAAAGAAAGACAATCAACGAATTATAAAGTTAAACCCAGGAACTTCTTGTGTGCATTTTTAACGTTTCAGGCGCAGAGGCAAGTTGCTGTTACTGGCATTGTTGGGGAACGACTTCTTTGCATGCCTAATTAAATACAAAGAGTCACTCGGGCCACTGGCCCACCCCACAGCTTGTCATCAAACACGAATTCTAGTTTACTTGCCACTCAAAATCGCCAGGCAATGACGATGCAAATGGGCACAGAAGCCCAAGGATTCCAACCAGGCCCTTCCTGTGGCCCCTCCCCAGCGTTACACACTCTGTAGGTACAATGCTTTCACGGGGCACCTGCTGCCCAGCCTGAGCCTTCTTTCTGTCCAGCAGATTCCAATCTCATTATAATCGACATTTTGGATTGACCTGAGTCCACAGCCCCTTTTCTTCTATTTAGTTCCCAAATGCCTTGGTTCTCCAAGTGTGGTCCCCAGCCAGCAGCGGCCCCTGGACGCCTGTGAGAAATGACCAGAAGCTCAGGGGGCAGGCACACAGGTGACTCTGATGCCCAGGATGGTTCCAGAACCACTGCCACAAGCATCCCTGCAGATTATGCAGGGGCAGCCCATGAGCCAACTGTAAACTTATAAAATCTTTGGTGTAAAAAGAGTATATTTCAGTCTTTGTGCAGGAGATGACAGCCTGAGACCAACACAAGACCTATAAAATCGCAGGTTGGCATACTTAAAGCCACAACAGAGGAAATATTTCAACACAAGCCGTGACCACATGCTCTTTTCGAGCGTGAAAGAGGTCTGGGTTCATCTGTAGTCTGGAGACGCTGGTGTGCTACATATTATTCTGGTTACTCCCTCTTTTCTGGAAGCTTCTCACCTACCAGCTCAGTGGCTCTCAACCCTACCTGCGCTTTAAAACCACCTGGGGAGCCGTCTAAGACTTAGCCAAGGCCCAGGGCCACTCAGAGCCTCTCATTCAGAAGGTGACATCGGCAATGACTAGTTTTCACAGCTCCCTGGGTGGGGCCGACGTGCGGCCAGTGCTGGCCTGGCCAGCGGCTCTCAAAGCACCAGTGGGGTATCTGTTAAAAAGAGGATCCAGAAACCGACTGAAGGTCTGGGAAACTGTGTATCCCCAAAAGCAGGCCTCCGTGTCCCCAGGCACCGGCTGTGGCCACGTGCACCACCGTCCCTGCCGGAGCTCAGGAGATGTGGCAAAGCCTGCAGGTCTACCTGCTTCCCAGGTGATTCTTAAGCTACTGAGTTTCCAGCAACAGCGAGGAGCCGGCGGCCCCAGAGCCCCAGAGCGCGGGGAGCACACGTGTCTTTTTCACCATCACATCCCCGTGCTCACAACCTGGAATAGAGCAGCTTCTCCAGCGTGGCCATCTCTCCCCTGAAGAGAGAGAGATGTGGAGGATGCTGCTACTCCATCCGCCACGTGGCTGCGCTCCTACAGGACGCCGGGACTAATCTCCAACCCACTCAAGGCTCTGACCTTGTGCTGAGGGGCCGACGGTTAAGAACCTCGCACACGAACAGAGCTGGCTCCGCGGTCACGGTGCAGGTCATGATCCCAGCCCCACCACTGCCAAAGTGGGCCTCAGCCAAGTCACCTGACCTCTCAGGGTCCAGTTTCCTGTGTCACGAGGAGCGGGGATCCCCCCTACAGGGCAGCTGGTAGGATTTAATGAGGTGATACGGCCAAGTGTTCAGAGAGAGCTGTGCCCTTGCACACGGCGGGCACTCGCTGCAAGCCCTGCTCTGCTGCTGCAAAAATTACCTCATTCGTTACAGTGAACTATCGTCCAGGAAAATAAGGCTGGCAAGACAGAACGCTTCCAGAAGAAAAGCCTAAATGGGAGTCTCCCCCTGGGGCCGAACCACAATCAGCAAACGTGAGGATTGGAACGCGAGCCTTGGAAGGGCCAGAGCAGGAGCCCCGCACCCCCTCAGTCCCCGCAAAATCACCTTCGGGTGCTCCCTTCGCCACAGGCTGCAGGGCGCCTCCAGGCCCGAGGCCTTGCGGGAGCCGCGGGAAAGCCAGCCTGCCACAAGGGGCACGGCTGCGCAAGGAGCTCCGGAGACCCCTGTTCACGTTCTCCACGGCGACTGGTCTCAGCAAAACAACAGCCACCATCACCTTGAATCGGTGATGTTACTACCGCTGTTATCTGCATGTTACTGCTTTTAAGGTTTATACTTCACGTACATGTTTATTTTGGTTTTACGGTTGCATGGGAGCTATGAGCGTTTAAGTTTATACCGTTCTGTTTACACGTACTAAGCTAGTGAACTGACAGCAACCCTGGGGGAGTTTTTGTTTTTTTTTTTTTTTTTTAACAGGGGCCTACATATTTTAGGAAACGCTGTTCTGATTTGTATATTCTGGAGATGTCATCAGATCTCTCACTCACGGGTTATCAACAATGTCAAAGAATTAGGGTATAAAAGCAGCAGAAGTAAATAATCTTTCTCTTCTGACGAAGCACATCCGATTTAAGAATGCTCGAGGTGACCGTTCTGAACATCTTTTACCTGTGGATTCAGGAACACTCGTGACTTCTGACAGACAAATGAAAGACACGTGGACCGTTCTCAAGTAAAACTCCCAGGGTGTCCTGCACTGGCGGGAGTCAGAAGCCCCATCTTCCTCAACAGAGGCTTGCACACATTTGCAGGCACCTGGAGCCCGCATCTCGCCAGCAGCCAGGGCTCTGGCTCAGGAAAACGGGGTTACCTGCAGCGCCAGCAGCCGGATGCCTTCCAGCGGTTTGTCGGGGTCCACTTTAACTTCCCGTGTTCTGGCAAAAACTTCTAGGTCTCTGATGTTTTGGCAAGCCAGATAAGAGCCCTAGTTAGGCAAACAGACAGAGGTGCACTTACGTCGAGGACGAAGAAGCGAGCGTTTGTCTGGGGAGCGTCAGGATTGACCTTAATGGTTCTGGCCATTTTGAACGCCTGCAAGCGTGGGAGGTGCTCGGCAGCACGGGAAGCACCCTGTTTTTAAATGCAATTGCACATTACCGACAGGACGGCCGGATCCTGGGCCTACAGCACGCGCGAGCGAGCGACTGCTCTAGCTCCTCCCCCGGAGGGGGGGGGGGGGCCCGCCGCGCACTAATTCTCAGGCAATATCCAGGAGTCGCCCAGAGAAAAGTCTGGGAAAGCAGTCAGTGTAGAAAGGAGCTAAAAAAGCCAGCCTCACCCCAATTTATTTATTTTTATTTTTTTAATGTTTATTTTCAGAGACAGAGAGAGTAAAAGAGAGAGAGAAAGCGTGTGCCACAGGGGAGGGGCAGAGAGAGAGAGGGAGAGCGGGAAACCCAAGCAGGCTCTGCCCTGTCAGCGCAGAGCCAACGTGGGGCTCGATCCCACGAACGGTGAGATCATGACCTGAGTGGAAACCAAGAGCCAGACGCTGAACCACCCAGGCGCCCCATCCCCAGTTTATTTTTAACTGAAATAAGATATACATTCCAAAAAGGCGTAGACATCGTGTACAGTTTGATGAATTTTCACAAAATGAACACGCCTGTGTTTACTACTGCCTAAACCAAAAAAGAGCGGATTACCACCAACTCTCCAAGTCGCTTCCTTTTTAAACATTTTTTACTGAATCTGTGCACCTTTCTCTTTCTCCTGTACCTCACGGCAATTTCTCTCCCTGGGAAAACAAGCGCTAAAACAAAACAAAGCAGCAACACAAATCATACAAAAAGCACGAGCTTTCGAAGCAACAGGGGCTTGTTTCCAAGAGGCGGGGGGTGCGGAGACGAGGTCCAGCCAAAACGGAGGGTGACGGCAGGAAACGGCCACACATGCTTTGGGCTGACGGGGCATCGGTGTGTTTTCAAAAAGCGCTTTGTCTTTCTTGTGGAAAAGGAGCCAAAATTATGAGCTGTGTACGTTTGCCCGTCCACGTAAACTTGTTTCCTGTGAACGCTACCACACACAGGCATCTCGGATTAGCTTCTATTCTGCACACGGGGAAACTGACGCCTGGCATCACCGGGGGCTGCTGAGGCCTTCCTCTCCAAAGAAACTGGCTGGGGCTCCCCTCTCAGAGCGCATCACTCGCTGCTGCTCTTAAGGAGCAGTGTGTGAAACGGCACCACAATGACATGCTTGCAGCCAGGACAAACGTCTTACTCCCTGTCAAGGGGTGAACAGGCCCCGTAGCATCAGCTCGTGACAAGATGCCACCAACCGCCAACCCCGCGCAGAAGGGCCAGCGGCCGCGAGAGCGAAGCTTAAGTGACTGGGATGAGGGGCGTCTCAAACCAGAGGCCAGGCCAGCGGCACGGACTTCGCACCACTACTCACTGCCCACCCCACTCGGATCCACCACGAGGCAGGACAGTAACCGCATGACTATCTCGCTCACTCGGGACTCTCCGGTTTTCCTTCTGAATGCTCCGGGAAGGCTTCAGTACCTTGAAGTTGGGAATCCTGTGATGAACAGGCCGGGGAAAATCCGCTAAGTTTCGTGATTCCATGTAGTCCCAGATCTGTTCGCGAATGTCCTGTTTGGAAACACCTATGGCAACAGAGGGTGGGGGGGGTTAACGCGGCAGAAGGGAGTCCCGCAGAGGTGCGGCCGCTCCAGCACGCTCGCGCCAGGCCAAGCCAGCGCTTCTCATCTGCACAGCGAAAAATCAGGGTTAGTGATGAAGTTGCAACAGATTGGTAACGTCCGAAAACAGAGTAAACTCAAGACAACCCAGGTGTTTAATCCGGCCCTGCTGAAAACAAAACGCAATCCAAGCCCCACGCCCTGTCCTCGCTTGGAAATGCGCGTGCCGCTGGGTCAAGGCACTGCAATCCTCAGTCTGTCCAGCTTTGCCATGGCCGTGATTAGTGCGCTCGGGCTGTAAATCCAGAAAGCTTGTCTTAAACCTAAGTGCTTTGTAAACCTATTATTTTGGATTACCAATTACAACCTCCTTTATTAGCATAGGAATTTCTTTTTTCTATATCCAATTTAGGAAGGTGCATTTTTGGCAACAAATAATCTTTATTTGAGCAGAGCAGTGTTGATGAAATTTGCATTAACCACGTACTCTTCCTAAGAGTTAAGAACCATAAGGAGCAGTCTCCGGTTAGGTACCAGCACCTTCCTATAGGCATATTTTTAAGTATTCACTTAATTTCCATTTTTGTTGGTCCAAAAGGATATCCTCACACTTGCTCAGAAGTCTGTTTCAAGTCACTTTACTTACTACTTGATCTGTTTTCTTTTCTTTAGTATTTATTTTTGAGAGAGATACAGAGAGTGAGCAGGGGGAGGTACAGAGGGAGAGAGGGACACTATATCTGAAGCAGGCTCCAGGCTCTGAGCTGTCAGCACAGAGCCTGACGCAGGGCTCGAACCCACGAACCGCGAGATCATGACCTGAGCCACTCAGGTGCTCCATTGTCTGTTTTCCTAACAATTTGTTGTGCGGCCAGCACTGCGAATCATGAGGCAGGGGACTCCCCATGAGGTCATCTCATGCGCGGGTATGCTCTCAACACCAACCTGCCCTAACTCCCAACGAGGGCGAGTGCTTCCTACCCTGTGCCGTCTGAAAGTCGCTGCAGGGACACACATGCATGGTGTTTAGGGAACATGCATCGCTGTAGCTGGCAGTGAAAGCCGACCTCTTCTTTTCAGAGAACTTAGATGGTGTCCCTTACAGCTGACAGGAGGTGCTACAGTACTGTGTGTGGCTGGGACACCTCTCGTCACCTTCCTGGGTGCATACCTGGGGCAGGTACAACTTCACGGGTCCCGAGTCTCCCTTAAATGAGTGCAGGCTATTGAGAAGCGACCCAAGGGAGCAGCCCAGGATCAGAGAGAACGGGGAGTTGCCTGGATGGGTGGTGGGATGGGGCTGGCAGCTGGCTTCCCCCCACAGACATTTCTGAACAGTGTGGCTTTGATTCATGTCAATCAGTCACACTCCAAAAGTTTATCTTTCATAACTGGACACTCTTAACACAGGCAAAGGGAGCTATACTGGCAAGCCCCTCCCCTGGCCGCCTGCTGGCTACCAGCTCCCTTCCCCCAGGGCGGTCAGTGCACCCCTTGTTTTTTTCTCCTGAATTCTTCCCAGGTACGTCTGGCCCCACACAGGAGACATTTCCTGTCACCACCTCTTCCTAAGGCGGCGCATCACGCAGACAGCCCACACTGCCCCGCACATTGGTGTTTTCGCCAGACATCTGGCAGATGGGCCCATGTGGTATACAAGAGCGCCGCTGTCCTCATGGGAAGCCACACAGTTTTCCACTCTAGGGACAGGTCAAAATTTACCCAGACAGTCTCCTTCTGAAGGGCAACGGGTGGTTTCCAACACGTCAGTGTTACTGACGTGCACTTCGCCACCCGCTGCCCATTTTGCCCCCACGTGTTAACCCCCCACGTGTAGTTCTAAGGGGTAAGGGCCACAGCCACAGGCTTCCACTAGCCTACACCGTCTGGCTAGGCCTAGAACTCCCCAACGCGGCATTCGGCCCAGTCCCAGAGCCTCTTGGGGCCACTGCAGACGCCACTGGTGCCTCGTGACCCTAGCTGTGCCTCTGGGCCGCTCCAGAAATCGGCGCTGCAGCTGTGGGAGCACTTCGGGACCCGTGTCTATAAGACGCAGGCTGAGCTCACGCTGCTGTCAGCCTGGGTGGGGCCACACAGCCAGTTTCCAGCACTTGGCTTGTTTTTCCCGCCGGGAGCTGTGTTGGCAAGTTGGCTCAGCTCTGTGTCCCTTGGGCAGACCCTCACTCTTCAGGCCTCAGCTTCAGCACGACCTCCAGGAAGCCCGCCCCCTTCCACTCTGCTCCAGTGTCTGGGGATCTCTTTGTCACAGGGCCACAAGGAGCTCTGGCCTGCAAAGCCTTGCTGCGCACGTCAGCCCCATCTCCCACTATTCCTCACTTTGGATTCAAAACGTGGCTCTAGCATTGTTGGTCCCTGGTTCCACACACCTGCCCACCTCTCTGCCTCTCAGGACTTGGTACCTCCTCTCCCTTCAGGGACACACCACATCCCCCTGTAAGTATTTCGAGGGCCCAGCCACAGACAGATGTCCCTCCTTCAGGAACTTGGAGCACCCTAACTGTCTGGTTTTTTCAAACACAATTACACTGGCACAACTATAAGATTACTACACTTATCACTTTCACTAACAACCTACAGGTGCTACAGTATCCCCAACACCGTGCAGGATGCGGTGTGGGACACAGGAAATATAAGAAATTGTGACCCTTGCTTTGGGGAGTCCATCACAAACATCTGAGTGACTCCCATTTAGAAAGCAATGGGCTGGTTGGGAGGTGCAGGGAGCCTGGAAGGGCACAGGTCCTCCTACACGTGGAAGGTTACAGAAACATGGGAGATGATTAGGATAATAAAAGAGGACACATATTTATGTGTGACATGCCCGAACCCTGTTCCATAACTGCCTATTCACTCCCCTCAACAGGTTGTGGGCCCCGTCGGGTGAGCTAGGGTCTCACTCATCCTCTACCTCTGGCTCTGAGCTCAGTCCCCGCACTTGGCAGGCATGTGAACTACCCGCACCTGTTTACTGGGCTCTTTACATACTGCACACCTGGGAAGAGCAGAGGTTTATTTATTCCAGACCCTGGCTCACTGTGGGCTTTAGTATTGGGTGTTATCTTTGCCAAGAAACCCTGCAACAATCACCAAAGCTCTTCTCCACTAGAGGAGCCCAGGGGCAATGAAGCAAGTGTCCCCAGTGCCTGGACAGGGCCTGGTACAGCGACACCTCAGAAAACATTTAAGAGGGCGGTGATTTTTTTTTTTTTTAAGTTTACTTGTGGGGGGCGGAGGGGAGGGGCAGAGGGAGAGAGAGAGAATCCCCAGCGGGTTCCGTGCTGTCAGCGCGGAAAGGGGGGCTTGAACCCATGAACTGTGAGATCGTGACCTGAGCCGAAACCGAGCCGACTGAGCCCCCCAGGCGCCCCTAAGAGGACGCTGCGAACCGGCGTTTAAGATACATTGCTTTGCAGCCGCGCCCCTGCCCCTGGAAACCAAGTTACATTGGTTTCCGGTGAGCCGTAAGCGCAGCTCTCACAGGTGGTAGTTACGACCGGCACGGGGCCCACCGACACCACCAGGTGCCCAGCAAGTAGCCCTCGCTCTCTTCTCCCCATTATCTTTACTCCTCAAGACAGCGTCGGATATCAGGGTCGGAGACCACCGCCGGGTAGACCCCCCACGCCCCGCTGGGACCCCTCCGGGTGCCCCCGTCTCTCCGGTGGTCCCCGGCCCATCCCCTCTGGCCCCGCGCGCCTCTCCGGTGGTCTCCCGGCGGCTGCTCACCTACTCCCCACTCGGACAGTGGGTGACCCGGCGGCCCCTCACCCGCCCGCCCCGTGCCCGTCCGGTGGCCCCTCACTCGCCCCCACGCCTGCCCCTCTGGTGGGTCCCGCCCGCGTCTCCAGCAGTCCCTCACCGGTCCTCAGCTCCATGACGACGCGGTCGGCGAGCGACGCCTCCAGAGGCGGAGTCGGCGCGGAGTGACGTCATCCGCCCGCGCACTCTCCCCGCGCCTGCGTACTGACCGCAAGGGGGGCGGGGCGTCGCCGCGGAGGCCTGGTGCGAAGGGCCTGGAGTGCGCATGCGCGTGCGTCGCCGCGGGCGGGGTGGAGGGACGTGCGCAGAGAGCCTGGCTGGGTTCCCGGGCTGTCATTTGTTCACGGAGCGAGTCAGTGTTGAGCGCCCGTTCCCACGGGCGTTTGCAGGGCGCTGGGGCTACCGAGGTGAAGAAGCCCCCGGCCTCTCAGAGCCCACTGCCGATTCCAACACACCCGCCTTCTTTTCTGTTCCCCCAGAGGCCGCCTCCTCTGAGAAGGCAGCCTTGATTGCTCCTCCAGGATGTGATTCCTCTTCTCTGAGGACGTACCGAGGGCATTTTAAGATGTCAGGTCGCTGGAATGGGACCCACTGCGGGTAGGATCGGGCCCAGCCCGGCCGCTGAGGGAGTCCGATGTGCTCCCTAGGGCCACACTTCGGTGAACACCCCTTGGTTTTACCGTGCGTGGCCTCTGGATCTCTAGAGACCGAAAGAACGTGGCAGCCTGCCTTTGCTCGGCACATTGGGTGTGTCAGTCTAAGGGCCAGGAACTGGCTGCAGAGAAGGCCAAGTCCGAACCTTCTCTGGGCTCCACCCCAGCGGGACCGAAGGAGGGTCAGTTGGCGGGGAATTCAGGCTTTAGGAAGATGACCCTTCCCAAAAGGAGGCCGTCCCAAACCAAGTCGCCAGTAGCCACCTCCCGAGTGATTGCACAACCTTAGCCGTGCGCCTCCTGCATCATAAGCTCCAAAGAAGGGGTGGCTACTTTCCAGAAGTCTATACCCAATACTTGCTAAGATCCTGGCAACTGGCAACACACTTGCAAAATAGGCAAAGCGTTTTAGCGTCCACCTCCAGATGCGGGAGATGAGGTTCTGGGTGTTCCAGAGACTTCCTCAAGCTCCTACAGAACGGATCCTATGCCCTTTGCCGTCATCAGAGAGAACATAATTGATGACAGTAGCAAACGCTGCTCCAAATGTGCCAGGCTCCAGGCTGAGGGCTTCCGAAGTCACACCTGAATGCAGTCCTCACAGCAGCGGTGGGCAGCCGAGGCGGCATCCACAGGGGAGGAAACAGGGACTGGAGATTTTGGGGAGCCTGGCCCAGAGTCGCGGAGCCGGGAAGAGGCAGCACGTGACGTGACCCCAGTGTGCTAACTACAAACCTTGCGGCTCCTGGCCACACCTCTGCCTTCCTAGGGGGTATTTGTGGCGTTAATACACAAAGACATCAGCAGCCCTTCGTGCTGTGTGGGGGTGGCCGTGTCTCTTACCGGCTCCCAAAAGGTTATAAAGTACAGAAGGTTATAAAATAGAATCTCTCAGGGAGAGTGGTGTCTTTTCCCACTTTCGGGAAAACACCGTAGATCTGTGGAGAACATTTTATGCAAATTGACCCGGCCCCAGCAGCAGAAACGTGTGCAAGACTCACTGTGCTCAGAGCAGCGACCAGGGTGCTAAGCCACAGCCCAAGTCCCTCAGAAGGGAGGCCTGGAGCATCCCCCAGGCAGAGCAAGCCACGGGGAGCAAACTCCCTCCCTGGAAATTTCAGAAAGCAGGTGGCACTCCCCAGGCCATTCCCCTTGGCTCCTTTGTTCCATGTTTCCAAATTAGAAGCGCCCCCAAAGCCCAGGCACTTGAACGAACAGGTAGTTGTGAAAGAGACGCCCCTTAGAAGAAACTGGCTGGCTTTCCCGTGGAAAGGTATTCTAGAACTTTGACCCAATGCTTCAGACTCAATCATATAGGTACACTTGCCCCTGGGTCCCTTGACAGTTTTTAAAAATAGACCTAATAGAGCCATTTTGGGTTCACAGCACAATTGAGCCAAAGGTACAGGGAGCGTCCCATACACTCCCCACCTCCCTCCCCCGCCCCCCCCCCCCCGGATCAACATCCCACATCACAGCAGTGCCTTCATCACCATCACCTGTGACTCATCATTATCACCATGGACCGAATGTCTGTGCCACCCTCCCCCACCCCATATGTTGAAGCCCGATGCCCCATGTGATGGCTTTCGTGGGCAGAGCCTTTGGGAGGTGACAGGTCATGAAGACGGAGCCTCCTTGGTGGGGTCAGGGCCCTTATATAGGGGACTCCAGAGAGCTCCCTTCCCCCTTCCGCCATGGGAGGACACAGAAAGAAGACGGGCATCCGTGGACCGGGAAGCGGGCTCTCACCAGACGCCCATCTGCTGTGACCCTTGATCTTGGACTTGTCAGCCTCGAGACCTGTGAGAAACAAAGGCTTGTTTAAGCTGCCCAGCCTGTGTGATTCTGCCATAGCATCCCGACAGAAGGCACACTCAGAGTCCACAGTTGACGTTAGGGGGTGTTCTTGCTGGTGGACATTCCATGGGTGTGGACAAACGTATACACGTGGACCCTTCCATTGTGGTATCGTACAGAATGGTCTCACTGCCCCCATCCCGCCAAATCCCCCGCGGCACCTGTTCATTCCCCCTCCCTCTCGTCCTTGGTGGCCCCTGACATTTTACTGTCTCCATAGCTGTGCCTTTTCCACAATGTCATAGAGTTGGAATCCTGTAGACGGTAGCCTTTCCAGATGGCCTGATTTCACTCAGTAATACGCACTTAAGGTTCCTTCATATCGTTTCAGGGCTGGGCAGCTCTTTTCTTTTTAGTGCTGAGCATCATTCCATCATCTGCACAGACCACAGTTTATTCACCCCTCAGCTACCGGAGGATACCTGGGCTGCTCCCAGGGTGTGCGTGGGTTCACGTAAGGGTTTTATAGCTTGTCACAGCTTTTCCTGACGTGTTCTCACGACCCCTTCGAAGCCGGCCAGAAGGAACACATAGTGAAAAAGGCAAGAACATGGAGAGCTTGGCCGTGGATCTCCGAGCTGTGTGACTTAGGGCAATTCACTCACCTCTCTGGGTGTCTGTTCCCTTCTCTGTAAAATGTGGGGGAAGGGATTCCTCCATTGGAATGGGTGAGAGGTCAGAGCGGCCGGGGACGCGGGGAGTCTGAGCACACCCAGCCCGCAGCAGGCACACTGTCATCGTCCCATAACCATCCTGCTAGACAGACAAGGGAAGCCGTTGAGAGATGAGATCCAGTGATTCACTGAGGTGCCGGGGTGCTGACAGCCAGCCCTCTCCCCGTGTGCGCCTCTGAAACGCCAACGCCTCCAGCCTAAGCTTTACGGGTACAAACTTCAGATATTAAATGCCACATTCTGCTTTCTGCTGCCCGACCTCCCCCCTGCACCGTATGCACATACACACACAACTCCTAAAGTGCTGAAAACAAACACAAGCAAGCAGAGATCATTCTAATAACAACAAAGCCTGGCTCCCGGGGAGCTAGCAGGTTCCCTTCCCCCTCCAGGCAGCCCTCGGTTATCTGGCTCTGCTCCTGAGTTATGCGCCCTCTCCCATCCTGGGATCCGCTGAGGCTGTCCGTCAGCGTCTGGCATTTCAAGGCACGTTCTACCAAGGCAAGGCGAGGATGCCCGAAGTGTCACAGCGATGCCTTGCCCCCACTGCCCAGGTCAAGGGTGTGCCACACGATTCAGACTGCACCCGGCTCCTGTCTCCAAATTCTGTCCTCCCCCGGCGTCTGCGGCCACCACCTCCTCCTGCCTCCTCCCTCCTCTTCCTCCTCTCTCCTCTACCTCCTCCTTCCTCTCCCACTCCTCCCCCCCCCCACTTACCCTGTGTCTTGCCCTCCATGCACCTGCATTCCCCCCTGCATAGCTTCCAGCTGTGACCTCATGGACACACTTCTCCACCAGCCTTCCAGGCCTTGTGGGGTCACCAGCTTGCACACTCAACCCCCTCTCTCAGCCAGACTTCCTCTCTGTCAACTTGGCTTGGTCCTTCTCCTCCTTCCTGCTTTTGTGGGTGTCTCTCCCATCCCAGAAATGCCCTCCCGCACCCCAAATTGGCCCAGTGGCTAGCAGGTGGGAAGGGTGGGGCGTTCGAAGAGACTCCTCTATCAGAGCGGGGATGGGCCAACACCGCAAAGGTCCCTGGCAAGGAGCAGCGGACTCAAGAGGCATCACTTCAAGGCACAGAGGGGACCGGCACTGGGTCTGAAGCTGGAGAGGCGGAGGGTGGGCGGAGTCGTGCCCGCTCAGAGCTGTGCCGGTGTCAGGGGAACCCAGATGCTAACGCGAAATTTACACGCGGCTGCAGGGACGCCCCAGGAACAACCGGGCGCCGTTTGGGTCACGGTCTGAACAGCCGCCTTGCACACGGGAACCAGCCAGCGTCTTCCAAGTAAACTTACTACCATCTTTCAACACAGAGCAGGGAGGCAGAAGATCACAGCCACCCTCACCGAGGAGAAAGCCTGTTTTCTCGAGACAGTGGGTGGCTGAGCCCAAGAAGGGGCTCGCGGTCTCTGTGACTGGGGAGCCGGATGGCAAGAGGCTGCTGTTTAGCCGTGTAGTGCACGACCCGCACGCCTTTAAAAAAGCAGTATAATTTCTATCATACGCGGAGCTCCAGAAATCCTGCCACCTTCTCCTGTCGTGCACCTTCCACCTTCTCCTTGAACCGTGAACGTTGATGGCAGGTGGTTATTCGGCAGCTGCACCTACTGCCTCGTGGATGTAGGATCGTTTAAGAGGCTAAGAACTGAAAAGGTCTGCGTGTGTTTTTGCCAAAACAGAAGTTTCAGCCTGTGAGCCCTTTTCCAGGACAGCCGTGGAGCATTTGACAATGTTTCCCATTTGCTAGGCAGCCTCTGCCTAGAATAAGTGCCAGTAACTGTTGGGACTGAATCCTGGGTTTCCGCCCCTAGCTGGGGGACGAGGCCTGTGGTCACGGCAGGAGAGACGGGGTGTTTCTGAAGCCCGAGGTGACATCTATCCGTTGAGCTTCCAATCCCGGAGCGTGGATTCTGTGCCGGGCACAGCAGTGAGGCGTGGGGTGCAGTGGGTGCACGAGGCAGACCAGGTCTCCCCCTGCTCTCCGGCTGCTTGTATCCTGGCAGGGGGGGAGTCCTGTCTGGTAGGGGGAAGCGAATCAGGATGGGGGTGGGGTGAAGGACGGGAGAAAGCAGATGGGAGGAGGTCTCAGAGAAGGAGGCAAGGCAGCAAGGAACTGAGGACAGGGGACACAGGCAAAAGGGACAGCACGTGCAAAGGCCCTGTGGAGGGTCCAGGTTGGGCTGGCGTTGGGAGTCCCCGGTGTGGACACTCATGTGCAAAGGCCGGGGTCCAGCAGGGGAATGTTCTCTGCTTTCAGGGGATTCCTAAAGGGTGAAAAGCACCCAGGGCCAGCCACGCTCAGACTCCTTTGGGGGCACAAGTCTGCACCCCGGACTCCATTCAGTCCTTTAGAGGACCCCTGGGGCCTCCCTCGGTTACTGCCACCGTGAGACCCCGCCGTCACTTTGAGGCTCTGCTCAACGCTGCCCTGCACGGTGACCCCAGTCTGGCTTATTCCCTGGGGCTCACCCCACAGGTGAGAACCAGTCACTGCCTCCCTCTTTCTCTCCCTGCCC